TTTTGTTCTTCAGTCTAGTTGTGGAGGATGTTGCTTCACTGGCCCAATTGGCACCATCATTGCGCTCTTCCCGGGCGAGGCAGATCAGTCGCAGGCTTCTGGACGGCCGCTCACTGCGGCTCCTGGCTGCTCACGCTGGCTGCTGGTTACATACAGTAGCCCATGGCAACCCACTGCCACAGGGGCTGCAGTCTATGCCATCTCCAGCGACTCCCGGCAGCCCAGCCCCAGGTTGAGCTGTTGTTCAGCATCTTAGCTGTAGAGGGCAGCATCACTGGCCCTCATATGTGGGATCCGAACCGGGGCCCTCTGGCGTCCCAAGCCAGTTCTTAACCATCGTGCACTCGGCCGGCCCCAGATGTTATTTCTTTTCCTTCTACCTCCCTGACCTCCCTCCCTCTCTTCCAGACAAAATTAATTGCTCTTCCCCCTGTGTTTCCATAGCACTTCGTTCACGCCTGTAGCACAGTACTATACTTTATGACAGTTACAGGTTATGTCCCTTTTCCCCTTCTTGGCTGTGAGCTGCTTGGGGGTGGGAACCTGGTCCTGCACATCTATAAGACCTACTGCATGTTCAATACATAGTAGGGACTCAGTCAGTGTTGCAGAGGACGGATGTAGTAGAAAGCGGTCCCTCCTGCCCTATGTGAGTGGGTACCCCCTGATGATACCCAGATGGCATACTTAAATGCTCAGGGCATCTGGAGTGAGAAGAGGTACCCTAAACAGATAAGTAATGAGCAGTTCCTGTGATGCAGGGACTGTGCAGTAGGAATGGACGAGACACAATCACCGCTCTCAAGCTCCCATATAAAGAGGGTGGAGACGGTGGCATGGCAGGGTGATGGACCAATGTGGCAGGTGTGTCCGGGCACCTGCTCAAGCCAAACAGAGGGAGGGGCCAACTCTTCATTGGAAGATAGAAGTGTGGAATTTGAATTGGAAGAAAAGAGCTGAGCAAACAAACAGAAGCAGGTGTGAGCAAAAACAGCCTGTGAACCTAGAGGGGTCCTGTTAAGGAACAAGAGAAAGCCAGGTGGGGCTCTCAATACTATTCAGATATGTACAGTGCTAAAACTCAACGTCTCTCATCAAAATGTTTTTATTGTGGTAAAATAATATATAACATACATTTGAGCTAATATTTATTGAGTGCCTACAAACTGCCCGGTACTATTTTACGCTCTGGGGCTACAGAAAGGGACGAAACAAAAATTTCTGCCCTCAAGGAGCTCACATTGTAGAAAGGTAAAACAGACAATAAGCAGAAATTAAATAAAATACATAGTATTTTTTAAACGTTTAAAAAATTGAGATATAATTCACATAACAAAGAATTCATTATTTTAAAGTGTACAATTCAGTGGATTTTAGTAGATTCACTATTGTGTACAATCGTCACCACATCTAATTTCACGACATTTCCATCGCCCCCTCCCCCCCAAAATAACAAACCCATACCTATTAGGGGTCAATCTCTATTGTCCTTCCCTTAGTCCCTGACAGTTATTCATCTACTTCCTGTCTATGGATTTGCCTATTTTGGCCATTTCATATCAATGGAATCATATAATATGTGCCCTTTTGTGTCTGCCTTCTTTGACTTGGCATGTTTTTAAGGGTCATCCATGTTGTAGGATGTATTAATACTTAACCTCTTTATGACTCAATAATATTCCATTGTATGGATATGCCACATTTTGTTTATCCATCAGCGCTAGACATTTGGGTTGTTTCTACTTTGTGACTATTATGAATAACGCTGCTATGACATTTGTGTACAGGTTTTTGTGTGAACATACATTTTCATTGCATTTGGGTGTATACCTAAGAGTGGATTGCCGGGGCATGTGGTAATTCTATGTTTAACTTTAGAGAAACTGTTTTCCACATTGGTTACGCCATTTTACATCGTCACCAGCAATGTATGAGGGTTCCAATTTCTCCACATCCTCCCAACCTTTACGTAACTCATTCATTCACTTATTTATTTACATAGTATTGATTTGTTTTATTATAGCCATCCTAGTGGGTGCAATGTGGCATCTTATTGCAGTTTTGATATATATTTCCCTAATGACTCATGATGTTCAACATCTTTTCATGTGCCTATTGGTCATTTGTAGATCTTTGGGAAAATGTCTATTCAGATCCTTTGCCCATTTTTAAATTGGATTATTCATTTCTTTGTTGTTGAGTTTTTAAGAGTTCTTTATACATAGTTTAGCTATTACGCCCTTATCAGACATATTACACCTTATCAGACATTCTAGTTTTTAGCCCTTACATTTGGAGTTTTGACCCATTTTGAGTTAATTTTCGGATGTAGTGTGATGTAGGAGTCCAACTTTATTCTTTTGGATGTGGATATCTAGTTTTCCCACTATTATTTGTTAAAGAAACTGTCCTTTCTCCATTGAATGCCCTTGGAACTCTTGTCAAGAATCAGTTGACCATCTGTATGAGGGTTGATTCTGGGCTCTCAATTCTATTCCATTGATGTCTATGTCTATCCTTATGACAGGCCACACTGTCTTGATTACTGTAACTTTGTAGTAAGTTTTGAAATTGGGAAGTGTGAGTCCTCCATCTTTGTCCTTTGGGGGAGGAGGGGGGTGGAGGGAGGATTCCTTGCATTTCCATATGAATTTCCATGTGATCAGCTTGTCAATGTCTGCAAAAAAAAGAAAGTGGGAATTTGGGTAGGGAGTACATTGAATCTGTAAATCAATTTGAGGAGTATTGCCATCTTAACAATATTAAGTCTTCCAACCCTTGAACATAGGATGTCTTTAAAAATGTTTTGTAGTGACACATATATAAGTATCATATATAAGTATTGCACTTCTTTGGTTAAATGTATTCCTAATTTTTAATTCCTTTTGATACTATTGTAAATCAAATTGTGTTCTTAATTTCATTTTCAGATTATTCATTGCTAATGTGACACATAGTATCTTAGGGGAAATAGATAGAGCGTAAACAAAGTTAGAACAGTTGTTAGATCTAATATAGAAATAAATTTAAAGAAGGCAGTGGGCTGGTGTAGCTTGTGCCTGTGAGAAAGTGACTAATCTTGTGAACCTTTATTTTCCTTACCTGTAAAAAAAACTAGCTATCCTAATGGCTTCACAGGGCTAGTATTAAGTGTACATGAAATAATTTTTTAAAAACTGTTTGGCACATAGTAGATTATTAACTAATCTTGATGCCCTCTCGTATCCCCTCTTTTTTCCTCCTTTCCTTAAAACTGTAACTCTTTTTATTAATTGCAGACTAAGCCCATGTTAGAGCCTCTGTGCCAGGAACCAAGGAACCAAGTCTCTATCTCTAAACCCATCTCTGCTGAAAATCCCACCTAATGTCCAGAGACACCCCCCATCCTCCACCCCATCCCCAGTGCCTATAACTGAATCCCAGCCATCTGCTGCCAGGTGCCAGATCTCCTGGTGCCAAATGTCCAATGATGGAAACATGTTTTGGAGACATGTTTCTAGTCTTATATGCCACTAGTGGTGGATGCCCATCATTCTTTTTATTAAGACTTTAGAAAGGTCCCGCTCCTTTTAAGATGGTGATACAAATTTTAGGAAAACCATCTCTGTGTCCCATGTTTGTAAACAAGAATGCTCACACTGGGTAAGCTCGTGTCAGATTTGCACAGCAAGCCTATGAGGAACCCCTGTCAGATCTCTTAGCTAATATGCAACTGGAAAGCAGATGCCTGATAATTGCAAACTCAAAAGTGATTCAAGCAGAAAATAAGGAATTTGGAGTCAAAACGGAATGTTTTCCCAAGAGATCAATAGTATTCTAGACCATTCCTTTTAGAATCAATAGGTATAGCCAAATAATAAGTTACTTATATTTAAAAGGAGGAAGGCTGTCTGTCATTGGATCCCTCTTTGAATTCCCATAGTATTTTGCATGGTCCTCTTGGCGCCAAATCATGCTGTGTTGTAGTTACCTGTTTTGGATCTCTCTCCATCTGTTTCGGAATTCCTCTAAAGTATGTTCAATTAATTATGTTCTATAAATATCGATTGACAACTGCTTTGTGCATTGAGCCCATTGTGAGGTTTGGTGGATTAAAAAAATGAGATAGACATGAGCTGACTCTACCTAATCAGCATCCTCAAGGTGACAGAAGATACTAACTAAACATGTTGTAACTGAATTGATTAGATCCTGAGGGTTTTATTTTGACCCCCTTCTCTGTATTTCTTGAATACATCATTGCATTTTGAGAAAAGAGTAGCGGTTAAGGGAGAGGGTCAACATTATTAAGACCCGAGTAAAATCAAGAGAAAATGAGGTTCATTTGCCACTTGATAAGAAGCAAGAGTCTAGTCGGAGAAATAGAAGGGACCAAAGCGAGGCAAATTGGGAAAGAATTGGTGACTGTATGGGACAAGGAGATGGAATGGCAAGGACAGGGTTCACAGGCTTCTCTAACTACTTCTCTTGCTCTTTGTCTTTCTTAAAGGAAAAGCTGTTTTTCTTGCAAGAGATAAACATCACCTCTCAGACATCTGCCATCTGATCCGCCATGATGTGCCCTACCTGTTCCAGAAGTATGTGAAGGAGTCACATGGAAAAGATATCCGGGTGGTGGTGGTTGGGGGCCAAGTGATCGGCTCGATGCTCCGCTGCTCCACCGACGGACGGATGCAGAGCAACTGCTCCCTTGGTAAGGTATAAAAGCTCAGAGTCCATTTGTGGGTCATGGGAGGCCACAAGGATTGTTTTATAAGGCTGTTTCGACCCATTCAGGAAACGTGTGCCAATCCCTCCTATCTAGTCAGACCCTCTGCTGGGCACCAGGATCACAGACTAGAATTAGAAATAGTCCCTTACCTTTAGCAGCAAGCAGTCCAGGAGAAGGACAGGTGGGTATAAGTGCTATGACATAGGTCAGGCCAGGGGGTCAGGACGCTGAGGTTGGAAACCGATCCTGTAAGTGGTAGGACTTAGCAGTCAGATTTCAACAAGGGAGTGACATGAGGATTCGTGTTTGAGAAAGACTGACACCTGTGTAGAGGATAGATTGAAGACATCAGATGGGAGGCAGGGAGACAAGTTTGTAAGCTGCTCTAACAGCTCAGGCAAGAAATAGTGAGGGTCTTAACTAAGGCAATCGCAGGATACAGCATAGTCTGCTTTTACATAATTATTGAGGATTGTGTCTTTCTTATATGTATGATGTTATTGGAAAGGTGCAGTTTATGTTTGGGTCAAATGCATAACCCACCCCATGAACCTATTGATAAAGCTTGTTTTCTATTGTGGTAAATGGAGATGTTCCAGGAGGGATGCAAATTCGTGTCCCCATCACAGAAAGCTATTGTCAACCTCATTGAATGGATTTGTATGTTGATAATATGAAAAAAAACCAAAAACTTATAGTTATTATTTCCTAAATCGCCACTTGAGTGTACCAACTCTAGTGACTAAGAGAGAGGCCGAGACACTGATTTTGTCCTTCCTTCATTAATTCTGGTCAAGCAGTTTCCTCAAGTGGACTCTGTAGTAGATGTTGAGAGTGTAGCGATTAATGAGAGTCCTTGCCCTCAGGAAGCTTCTGGTCCAGTAAAGGAGAAGACACATAAACAGATCACTGTAAGACATTGTGATAAAGTGGTGTGATAGAGGCAAATTCTAGGTTCAGGCTGACACAGTACTGAGTACGTAACATACTATCTCATTTAATTTCCACGCTAATCATGTGCAGTGCCACAGCATTGAACCTTATGTGTTACCGTTTTATCTTTTTTAGTCACTGTAAAGAATCCATTCTCTGACAATGAACCACACAGTTTTGTAGTTTATCCACGTTACTTTTCTTGCTGTATTTATAGCCTTTTCTTTATACAGTGTGATAGGTGGGGAAAGCACAGTGTTAAGGAAAAGACGTTAATTATTGGACCTGAGAATATAAGTGTTAAGTCTTTCCAGAGGGACTAAGGGAAACAATTAAATCTGAGGTCTTAGCTTTTTAACAAGCAAGGGCAGTCAGGCTCTTTCTGTCCTTGGCATAGGATTTTGTTCCACAAGCCTCTCCATCTCTCTCTTCTTAAAAAATAATGTTGGGGCGGCCGGTTGACTCAGGTGGTTAGAGCACAGGCTCATAACACCAAGGCTGTGGGTTCGATTCCCACGTGGGCCAAGGAGCTGAACCCTCCCCAACTAGATTGAAATAACTACTTGACTTGATGGGTCCTGGAAAAACACACTGTTCCCCAATAAAATTTCTAAAAAATAATAATACTACTAATAATAATGTTAATTTTGTGTTTTTTTTCTAATTATAAAAGGAATACATTCTCAAAGTAGAAAATTTGGAGAAGACAGCTAAGTCAAATGAAAAGATATTAATCATTAATCCCACCATCTTGAGACAACCAATGTGAACATTTTGGTATCATTCTTTCCGATCTTTTTCTCTAATATTGTCTTTTTGCATAGTTATGGTTATACTGTGCAGTTTTTATTCCTTCTACGTATCTTCCCATGGGATCAAAAACTCTCTACCAGCATTATTATTAATGGTTATTAAACATGTTGTTTTCTGTATTGTGAGATATTACGATTATAATTTTTCATTTATTCATCAACAAATATTTATTGATTACCTATTATGTTCCAGGCACAATGATTGTTCAGCATTTTAAATAACTCTACCATCAACATGTCTGCATGAAGCGCTTTTTCTATTCCATAAGATTATTTCCTTAGTCAGGGAATGACTGGGTCTAGATAAGAAATGACCAAATTGCTTTCCCAAAGAGCGTCCCGATTCTCATCAGGCCTTTTGTGAGTAACGAAAAGGCCCTTCTCCCTGCCCTGCCTCAGCGTTCCCTCTTATCCCCCTTGAAGGGCCATTTGCCTTGTTGGTCAGTGTCTGATGTCATCGCCACATGACTGTGTTTTCCCCACAGGTGGTGTGGGCGTCATGTGCCCGCTGACAGAGCAAGGCAAGCAGCTGGCTATCCAGGTGTCCAACATCCTGGGCATGGACTTCTGTGGCATTGACCTCCTCATCATGGATGATGGCTCCTTTGTGGTGTGCGAGGCCAACGCCAACGTCGGTTTCCTCGCCTTCGACCAGGCGTGCAACTTAGACGTGGGTGGGATCATTGCAGACTATGCCATGTCCTTGCTGCCAAGTCGGCAGCCTGGGAAAATGGCTGTCCTCCCAGGACTGTCTAGTCCTAGGGAGAAGAAAGAGTCAGATGGCTGTGCTTCAGCTCAGGGAGTTGCAGAGAGCATCTATACCATCAACAGCGGGTCTACCTCAAGTGAGAGTGAGCCTGAACTGGGAGAAATACGGGATTCCTCAGCAAGCACAGCGGGACCCCCACCCCCCACGCTGCCTGAACCCAGCTACAACATTAACAACAGGATTGCTTCCGAATTAAAACTGAAGTGAATTCCTGCTTTTTTTTTGGCAGCATTTAAAACAAATCCTACTGCTTCCCTCGTAGTTTTGAGTGAATAAAATCGGGACTAATGTGATTTCATTTGCACAGAAACTAGAAATCCCATCTGGGCACTCAGCATTCTTTCTAATGATGATTTAAGCAAATGGACTAGCTTTGTGGTTTTTACCAAGACTGATCTCAAAACACTCACCAAGAACAACATCCCGACTGATTGATTGGAGACCAATGTCGGCTGCAAGCACTTGGATATCACGGCTGATTTTAAGGAGCTGACTCTGTGCTGCTGCTTCTGGCTTTTAGCACTACAGCCCATTTACTCAGAGAGGCTTCTGGAAATACTGTACTCAAAGCAACCACCATATGGAGGTGCTTGCAGAAGAGGCGGAATGTGACTGCAGATAATGTGCTCTTCATTAAGCGTGTGTGTGTGTGTGTGTGTGTGTGTGTGTGTGTGTGTGNTTGCACAGAAACTAGAAATCCCATCTGGGCACTCAGCATTCTTTCTAATGATGATTTAAGCAAATGGACTAGCTTTGTGGTTTTTACCAAGACTGATCTCAAAACACTCACCAAGAACAGCATCCCGGCTGATTGATTGGAGACCAATGTCTGCTGCAAGCACTTGGATATCATGGCTGATTTTAAGGAGCTGACTCTGTGCTGCTGCTTCTGGCTTTAGCAGTACAGCCCATTTACTCAGAGAGGCTCCTGGAAATACTGTACTCAAAGCAACCACCATATGGAGGCACTTGCAGAAGAGGTGGAATGTGACTGCAGATTGTGTGTTTGTGTTTAAGCGTGTGTGTGTGTGTGTGTGTGTGTGTGTGTGTGTGTGTGTGTGTGTGTGATGCTGGGAGAATACACAGTTCAAACCCTGTTGAAGGATCAATCTCTGCTCCTCATCAATCACCATCTTAACCCTATTTCTCTGACACTCAGGATATGATGTTCTAGGGAGCTTCCTCACTAGTATTTTCAATGAAGCATTTTGTAGAAAGTGAAATTGAAGGTTCTTTGACTTCAGTGGTTGGCACATGTCCTGCTCTGTAACTGGGGCTTCCTACAAATTGCTTTGCCATTCTGGATTTACAGACCTGCTTCAAACTAACGCCAGCCCCAGCAGCCTCTTGCACCTTTGCTGCCTTTGGCCTCAGCTGAAAACGCACTTCACCGAGCTAGTGGCCACACACTCTTTCTTAAGCATGCCCTAGAATTGAACACCATGGACTTTCTTTTCAATGGACTCTGTTCACTTATCATCCAGACGCCAGTAGGTTTTTATCATGGAGAGCTCCTGGAAGAGAATCATCTTCCCCCCTCCTCTACTGCAACTTTGTGTACTGCTTAGCTGTAGGAGGTTTTCCCATATGAGTTGGTATTATGGGCCTGTTAGGCAGGTAAAGCCATTGGAAACACACTCCAACCATTCCCTTTGACATTCTAGTCTTATCCAGGTTCCAGAGACCTGTTCTCACCCACTTTTCCAAACTGGGGAGACTCAGGTATCAGGAATGACTCATTTCACATTTTCGGGGGAGTTGGATCATGTAGACATGACACCAAGTGCTTTTTATTTTAACTCTTCAAGCAGTAGATGACGATCCTTCCCTTGGAAGAAATCATGGAACGGAAGTATTCCATGTCTGCTTATACAAAGTATGACAGAAAATGAGCTAGGCTACCTTTTTAACCAAATACACAAAATATATGCACTCAAGAGTTACCATAATCAGCGTTGTTTTCTTTTGGGAGACCATACTCTTGAGCTGTGATGTTGCATGTGCCAAGAACACATAGAATTCCTTTTGGAGTTATTTTTGAAGTCATGCAAGGAATGAGGGCTCAAAACCTTGTAGTCATATCTGTTTTACATGACCCCTACCTAGAGGTAGTCCCATGCTCCATCACCCATTTTACGTGTATTTATCAGACTTATCGTCTAATGTTCCTTGGCTGTTAAAAAAAACTCATTTCTTGGAAAATAAATCTGTCCTTAATGGACAAGGACTTAACAACATGGAGGAAGCTCACAAGTAGACAGTTTCCAAGGAGGGTTCTAGAAATGTTCTGAGTAAGGTCAGCTTCACTAAACATCCATCTTCCCAAGGTGACCACTTTGACGGCAACAGCACCCATTTCAGTGTATAAATTCCTGCACTTATTCTGCTGTAAGTGTAAAACGTGTGTAAGTTCAAACAGTTCCATTTTTTTCACAACACATTTATGTAGCAATTGGCTTTTAAAATATTGTGGCTAAAATCAGATCTCACCAAGTAACAGTTGTACGATTCAAAAATGTTCAGCGCCGTGTAATGGGGATGTCACACTACACAGCTGTGGTTTAAATGCAGTCCCACATAGGGTGCATGCCCCTAAACTGTAACTTTAGTTATGTATCTTGTACAGGTGAAAATAATACTGCACCTTTATATAGGTTAAGACATGTACCTTATTTTTACCAGTCAGGGTAGGTTTAGAAGGATAGCTCTAGGTCTGTTCTCTCTGCAACTGGCCAGATGCTTTCTATGTAAAGGTCAGAACCCAGTGATTACCTTCTAGAAGATGCATTCACTTTCTCTCACTGTCTAGTGTAAGCCCAGTCTTCCCACTTTATCTGAAAGCATACTAGTGGGCCCCATCTGAGCAGGGCAGCTAGAGAGTACTTCCAGATTTGTCAAAGGGGGCCCATTTTCCAGCTGCTAGTGACATCTGCAGTCATCGGCATCATCACTTGGAACCTAGCCCTGTCTGGAGGCACAGAAAGCTGGATCACAGCCCCCTCTCCAGGATTTCCTATGCTGGCTGTGGACCCTATGAGTCTCAAGGGGCTGGCCCACACTTGTCACAGCTGCCCTCAAAGTCTGCTGGCAGGAACATGGGTCAAAGAGCCAGCTCTTGGTTCCAGCTGTCCCCTTAAACAGCTGATTGGACTTTTGCAATCAGGAGGGCTCTGTGTCTCCACTTTTCCATTCTTCAGATAAGGGAGATGCCTGTTCTTTTTACCTCCTGAGGATGCTTTGAGGTCGAAATCAGTTCATCAATGAGACTGCATGACGTGGGAAGTGCTGGAAGAACACCTCCCATATGTGATTTTGTAAGTTGCTCATCGTCCCTCCTCTGAGAGGGTTAAGAAAGAAAGAAGCCATGAATTGTTGGCATTAGCACACTAAACAGTGGTAGGAGCCCTAAAAAAGGATGCAGCTTCTCAGAGGTTTTTATGACCTGAAAGGAGTAAGGCTCTGAGTGTATCCAAGCAGCCCTCTGGATGTATATAACCTGAAACTTGACTCTTGTACACCAACTAACAGTCTTCCTTATGTAACATAAATTGCAGTGTCTGTATACAGTCTTCCCATTATCGAGTAGTAGCATCCTAAAACTGGTCAAAACTTGAATGCCAATAGCTCAGTCCTCAGAATATATATGATCCTGCACTTGGGAAAAATGTCTTCATGCTATCTGTCTGATTGCTGATGGGGATGGGGTTGCCAGAGTGTGGATTTGGGATTTTAGGTCTTTAGGATCTGATACTATAAGTGGATGATAAGCTTTTAGTGTCACAATTGCAGGCTCATTGCTCCCATCTAAGAGGGAATTCCATGACAATTGGGGATGGGGACAAGGGAAGGAGAAAGGTCTGGGGTGGTTTTATGACTTTTCAGTGAAAGAAATAAGAAATTAGTATCATTTGGAACAAAGGGCTCTTCCATGGGCTGTTTTAATGAAAGAATCATGAATATGTCTTGATTAGAGGTAGGAGTCTATTGAAACTATTCTGTATAAAGATAATGAGATGCATGGATTCCCATTCACCTCTCTTGAAATGGGAGAAACAGGCCTCATCCCTTTAAGTCCTGATGAATGCTGGTCTTGAGAACACTGAACGTAAATCGGGGAGATTGAAGCAGCTAGCTGGAGGCTCCAGGATCACCCACATAGTCGCTGACCCTCCCGGAAGTTAATGGGCCAGAACACCATGTGCAGGCAAGCCTAGGCCCACAGCTCTCAGGTGGGCTTCCGGAGTCATTTCAGAGAGTGAATCCAGAGTCAGTAAAACGGGGCAAGGCACTTCAGCTTAGTATTTCCTTTGCATCTGGAGGTAAGGCTTCTTCTATTTGCTGTCAGTCTATGCAGATGTTTTGGGAGGAGCCCTGACAACAGCCATCTTTGTCACTATCCCTGAAGTTAGTGTCTTAGATCTGCTGCTATAGCCTGATAGAAAAATCTGGTGCTGCTTTTGACTGCCTCTGAGACTCAAGATGAGATCATGGCTTTAAAATGCTTCTACCTGGAAACCCATCCATCTCAGGAATATGTTGTTTTAATCCTTTCTTAAAACTACATTATGCTTCCATTCCAGGTCTGTGGTTGAATTCTGCAGCCCTCCCTTCTAAAACACAGTAGGGTACAAAAACGTTCCTTCAAGCCTTTCCGTTGCCTTCTCCAGGTGTGCTTCCTGTGCCAACATGAGGCGCTATCCTGGGCCCGGTGTGGGCATCCCAACCCTGTTTGGTAGTTTCCTGTTCACTGGGGCCCTGAGGCAACACTAAGAAAGTCACCTATCCCACCAGATTTGAGGCCACAGGAACAGTAAAACTTTGGAGACCAGTACAGTCTCCCATTTTATAGATGGGGGATCCGAATCCCAGAAGCCACGGTCACTTAGCTAGTCACAGCAAGGCTAGAACCCAGGCAGTCTGACTCCCCATCCAGTTTCGCATACTTCCAAAGATGACTGTATTCTTACATGGCATTTAACACTTGCCATCCTAGACCTACCCTCTGCCCCTTCCCCTTTGAACCGCAGCTGTGGATCAACAGCTGTGAAGGATTTAGCTCTGGGATGGTGTTCAGGTGAGAGCCTCAAAGCCACTATGAGATTTCCATGGTGCAAGCTGGCTCATGGCCTTTTTTAGATCAGCCAAGGCCACTTAGCCGCACCTCGCACCATCAGCGATGCGATGTGAAGGAGAAGGGCCCTGCCAGGCTGAATGAAGGCTTCCTTGGCCTCAATTTGGCTCATGTTCCTTCACTGCGAAATGCTTTGGGTTTGTGGAGACCTCTATGGGCCTCTGCAGAGGCCAAGGGCTTGAAGGTCCTAAACATCTCCCATCAAGCACACCTGAGGGGGGATCCTGACTGAGCCACATGTTCTAGTTGCGGTCGGCCCCAAAGTTAAAAGTTTCCTTCTACTTCCAG